GCCAGTGTAAGTGGCTTGGCAAGAGAAACATGAGTGCCTTGAGGTGGCATCCCAGGTGGGACTGGAAGGGGCAGGGGCCCTCTGCCAGGGAACTGAGCCATGATGACAGCCCCCATTTTCTTACTTCTGCCCTGCTGCCCTCCTAGTTTCCTTTCTAGAGAATCTTGAGGTACACCCATCTAGACCAGAAAAAAAATTGCTAGAAAGTGGTGCTAGACTCCAAATAGTTCTAGTTTGGAGGAGTGAGTAACTGATTTATTTATTTATTATTATTATTGTTATTATTATTATTATTATTATTTGAGACAGAGTCCCTCTCTTGTTGCCCAGGCTGGAGTGCAGTGGCCCAATCTCGGCTCACTTCAACCTCTGCCTCCCGAGTTCAAGTGATTCTCCTGCCTCAGCCTCCTGAGTAGCTGGGATTACAGGCATGCGCCACCAGCCTGGCTAATTTTGTATTTTTAGCAGAGATGGGGTTTCTCTATGTTGGTCAGGCTGGTCTCAAACTCCCGACCTGAGGTGATCTGCCCACCTCGGCCGCCCAAAGTGCTGGGATTACAGGTGTGAGCCACCGCGCCCGGCCCTGTAACTCAATTTTTTTAAGGCTGAGGTTTTTCTATTAGTAGAATCATTTTTGAGAAATGTGGGAAGCGCTACTACAAAATCTTGCTAAGAATTTACTTTTGGACTCATATATTAGACTACAGTAGTAGTTCATGGAAACAGGGAAAGTTTTTAAAAAGGGAGAGAGTGTATCTTAGCTTTAGTGTATATACACACACACATACACACAACCACAATCACAGTCTCAACTCTCCACGTCAGTCTTTGGCCTCGCCACTTCAGCTGTCCCAATAATTCTTTTCACAGAGTTGGCATCTTGGGGGAGCCTCGATGTCTATTCAACCCCCATACGCTTCACCCCCTTGATCCAGAAGAAAACACAAAATCATTTGGGAGACATCCTTCCCTGATGGAAACAAATAACATAAGGATTCAGGATACACTGGACCTGGTCATGAAGACACTGTCCTCTCAAACATCATGCCCTAAGTAACCTGGTACATTCCATTTCTGTGATAAGTCCCTGTATCTCAAGTAAACTACTTTGACTTTATAGAAGATGGTTATTCGTTATTATTAAGCTTTAAAAATTTTTCAGATTGTCTGGTTAAAAGTTGAACAACAGACAAAGAATTCCTGAAAGCTCTTGAAAAGCTCATTTTCCTATTTTTAGTAGTTTGCTTTATTGTTTATTTATTTATTTGAGCTCTATGTGACTACTAAGAGTAATGTATTAGAACATTTAGTCAGTGCTCTAGTGTACTAGTGAAGAAACATTCGTTTATTTTTTGAATTTTTTTTTTTTTTTTTTTGAGTAATGTATTAGAACATTTAGTCAGTGCTCTAGTGTACTAGTGAAGAAACATTCGTTT